AAATATTAACATTTTACTTAAAGAAGAAACCCCCAAAATGTGTAATACCTGAATACTGAGAAAACAACCTAAAATAGTGCCTATTGTACTCAAAACTTAATAGGAAATATTGACCTTTTACCATACCTTACATTTTGATTTTATAAATAGAAGTTCTAAAAGAATTTTTTTATTAAAAAAAAAAAAAAGGAAAGATAATATACAGCTCTTGGATTTTCAGGCTTCAGTGGGTGCCAACTTAAAAGAAATTCCCTTGCCACAGTAAATTTTTGGACACTAATTCTTAGTTTAACTTCTAACACTGAACTATTGGTTGCAGTTCTGTTTCCACAGTAGCTTTTTGGTTTGCATTCCAGATGGCAAGGTTATTTTATCATAAGCCTCAGTTTGCAATTCTGGATGAATGTACCAGTGCTGTTAGCGTTGATGTAGAAGGCTACATTTACAGCCACTGCCGAAAGGTGAGATCTTTGTTTCTAGAATTGTACCTCTGTATATTAACAGGAAACTTAAAATGATACAAGGTGCACTCTTCCTTATGTCTAGTGCAGGTTACCAACAACAAAAAAAAAATCTTAGAAGGGCATGCAAGGACCCTTTATGCACACTAGAATTTGTTTCTAGAATTATACCTATGTATGTTAACAGGAAACTTAAAATGATACAAGGTGCACTCTTCCTTATGTCTAGTGCAGGTTACCAACAACAAAAAAAAAATCTTAGAAGGGCATGCAAGGACCCTTTATGCACACTAGAATTCAATAATTGTTTTGTAGTCTTAAGACAATTTAGATGTACATGCGGCCTCTGTATATTAGAGAACTCTTAATAACTGGTAAGTAACCTTACTTTTCCAGCTAAACTCTTAGAATGTCAAGTGAAGATCAAATAATCTAAAATTTTATACTTTTTTGTTGTTCGAGAGGTTTCTTTTGGCCTGGGCAACAGAAGTGAAAGGCTGGAAATTAACATTTCCATCTATTTTGAGATATGAAAAGCCAAGCACTCTAGGAAAACAGGATGATACTAAATAGTTTTCTTTTTCCTTTCCCTCTTATACTCACTTTTTCAGATCCTATGTAGTGCCATGTAAAATACCAATAAGATTCAATTTCACATCCCTAGCCTGGGAAAGAATGGGCTTGAAATAACATTAATTATTGAGTAACAATATTCTCAGAATGGTAATGGAGCAAAGCTGTGCATCTACTGAAATATGTGCTTGAAACTTGAAGTGGGAACTTAAGGAGCCTTCTATGGTAGTAAATTGATGCTAGATGAGGACTCTGCAGAAGAATGGACTTGATTTCTTGAACTTATTTTACCACATTACTATCAATACCCTGACATTTTTCTAAGTCTGTTTTGCATATACTTACTCTGTTATTCTGTTAACTTGAATGTTCATTTGTACTTTTCTTTTAGAGTTACTGTTGCCAAGTGGCTATTGCATGTTACTGACAAATAGAATTCCTGGTTAAGCTGTCCTTGCAGAAAGAAAAACAATAATGTTACCCTGTTTTATCATCAGAGCCATTTTGTCCTTTAATTGGTGCTACCGTTAGGGATGCATAATTAACTGAGTTGCAAGGAAACAGAGGAAGATTATTCACCTTTAAATTTTTACTTTAAGTTTATAATTCATTAATAGCTGTTGTTGTTTTGGCTTTTTTTGCTGTTAAAGTAGACTTCCTTTAATCACGAGGTTTGTTGTTTTACCTGCCTCCTACCTTACTGCCTTTGCCCAGTTCATTCTACATTTTGCCAAATCATTAGGAGCAAAAGAATGGTGAAATCGATTAAAAAAGATAAATCCCTCCTACTTTTTTTTTTTTTACTGCAAAATCTTGTATTAAGGCTACATAGGCATACTGTTAATAATAGAGTCTGGAAGTTTGTGTTTATGAATTTAAGCTCTTCAGCTGGTATCATGCTGAAAAATAAGTAACACCTAATCCATGAGAAAAATTAACTGCTTTATTGTGTGTATTTTCTTCATGTAGGTTGGCATCACTCTCTTCACTGTCTCCCACAGAAAGTCACTCTGGAAACATCATGATGTATGTAGTCTTTGCTTTTGCTAAGGATACCTGTAGGTGGCAGGGGTTTTGTCAATTTAATAGAAAATCAAACACCTTTACAATTCAAGGTGTTCTCATTTTACATACTAATAGGTCATGTTCTGGTTTTTTTAAAAAAGGTTTTACTTTCATGATCCAGTTGCACTATTTGAAATATTCTTACGCTTTTAGTTATGAAGGGAAAAGTAACCAAAAATCCTTAAATGTGTCTGTAAAAGTAGCCTCAAAAATACGAAAGGCTCACTAGATACTTAAGCCTTCTTTCTTAGCCTCAACCCCCCCCCTTGAACCAGAATCCAGTAAACAGCGTGGAGTTTTTGCTTTCAAGATGCCTAATATATCTACGCATAAAAAAAGTTCATCTCTAATACATGGACTTCTTTTCTTCCAAACTAAGATTTTACTGTTGTTACTATTTTTTATGCAGACAGACTGTATGTGTGGGGAAAATACTGAATTAACACACAGGGATGAATGTGTACCTTAAGTATATTGTCACAAAACCCAAGATAGCAGTGTTAAGTCTAGGTGTGACCACTAGCAGACTGATGGATGATATGAACAAAAGCAGTTTAACTCTTTTTCCAGAGGCAATTGAATTTAATGAAACATGAGGTGGGAGAAGCTTACCCTCTGGCTAGCTGAGTTTAAGATTTTGCATTAGGACTACTTCAAAATATAATTTATTTAGGCATTTATGGATCTGGTAATTTTTAGGTGGTTGATAACGTATCTTCTTTTATTTCAGTTTTACTTGCATATGGATGGCAGAGGAAACTACGAGTTCAAGAAAATAACTGAAGACACAGTTGAATTTGGATCTTAAAGTCATGAACTGAACTGCTACAGAGACTGATGATTACAGGAAGTGTGTAGACTGGCAGACGTTGTACAATAAAACTACTCGGCTTGTTTTTTAAACAAATTAACTAGGATAACCCAAAACAAGCTGTTAAGCGTTTATATTATGTAGGATATTGCTAATTGTGTATATGTTGGTTTAATTATTGATATGTACTAAGAATGTCCTTATTCTTGTGGTTTAAAAACCTGCCTAAATTAAATTGGGCTTAAATCAGTGTAACCTGATTCATCCTGGGATGCAAACCATTTGAAATCAGCTGATTTGACTTTTGTAGACCTTCTTTCCCTTCGGTGAAAAGCCCTGTTAAAATTAGGGTTGCTACCTCTCTCGTTCCTGCAAAGCAGTCTTGGATTTTTGCTCTGTTCTATGCATATTTCTGAGTTATCTCACACGGTGCAGGACATTCTCCCATCTTCAGATCTGTGCCCTGTTAAATGAAAGAGCCTTTTCCTTGACCAAGCCTTGTGATGTAGCCAATATGCCCTTGCTGATAAAGGATGGACTGAACCTAAAAGACAAAACTAATTCCTTCTGCTACAAAAATTAAGCTTGTTCTTTGCTGGGTTTTGGATTCTCTTTAACATCTGTCTGTCCATGCAATTCTCTCTGCTGCTCCACAGTCCCATTCTTTCCCAGTTTAGCAAGAGCTTCATCTATCCCTCACCCCAAGCTGCCCTTTTTCTGTCGGAGAAATGCTATGGTAATGAAGAGTTGAGAGGAGGCTGAGGGAGGAAAGGACTGACCAAAAAAAAGAAAAAGGGAAAAGAAAAGTGATGTTCCTTGTATCAAACAATCTTGTGCATGTTTTCAGCTCTGAAGAAATGAATGGCTCCCACAAGTAGAAACAGACAAGAATGTGGGTCCAATCATTCTTCTCTTGAAATCAGTAGGGGTCAGAATGGACTCAAAAATGTTAATCTGTGAAATAGCAGACTGTTGTCTGTCCTGTGTGCGTTCAGTCCTGCAATACAGCAGTTGCTTTTTCCAAGTTCCTCTTTTTCTCCCTCTTCAAAAAATCAGATCTGATGGTTTTAGCCACCCTTCAGATCTGAGTTTGAAAGTAAGTGATAATGGTACTTCCTGTTTGGTCTTCTGGGCTGTGAAGCCTAAAATGATGCTTTCATCCTTCACATTTATTCTCTTATTTGTCATGAGGTTTCTTGATTTCTGATACAAATTATTCCCCAGTGATTCTCGCTATTGTCTAAGGATCTCTAGTCCCTGTTGGTTTTCTTGTTCCAGCTGCCAAATGCCCTTGAAGAAACCAAACTCTTTAAATAGTTTACTGTAATGGGTTTTTCCATACAAATAATTACTGTGGTTGCCATACGACTTTGACAAACATAAATGCAGCAAGGTGATTTTTGTGATCAGGGAGTAGGAAGGTATAACTCAAACTGAATCGCTGTTTAGGCTTTAAAACAAAAATTTACAATACCTGTTGTACAGAGAAGGTCTAGTAGTTTTTTTAGTGTTCCATATAAGGTAGAGTATAGGAATGCACTACATGAAGGCATGCATAAAATATGCAATAAACCTGTTCTCTGTGCGTCTTTTATCAAGGGTTTAGACTAAAAACAAAAACAGCTTTTTATAAAATGGATATGTACTTGGATGTTAATTTTTACCCAATTTGATTAGTCATCATCTTTCACGTTGAAATTGCTACCTGTTAATATTTTTTATTTTATCATAGTTCTTGCCCATACCTGTCAGTACTACTGTTCTTTCGTAGTACTCAAACGCAAACAGCTATCCTGGTATAAGAATCTGGTGACTACAGTAGATTCATAGTATGATGCATCGATGAAAATCAAAAAAGCCTCTCTGAAGTGTAGCATATTCAAGAGAATATGGTAACAGAATACATTTTTGTGCTTGGTCCACAAGAAGGCAAATAGGTGTCTCACTTTACTAATTTTTTTTCTGTTCATTCAGATTCTCACATCAGCCATAACTAGCAGGTAGCAGCATGCTGTGTGTGAGGTGGTAGTCTTTTTTTTTTTAATTGTAACCATGAGAATAGGGATGCCAGATGGCTATTCTTTTTTTTTTGTGAAAGTTCTCAGCACAAATGCAACTTCTTTTGGAAGGGATGTTTTAGTAGCCTTTCAGAGAGACAAAGGAAAAAAAAATCTCTAAAATGAGAAAGTTGCTATTATCCTTGTGACTAGGGCAGACTTTGCAGTGGAGTAGTGAACTTGGAATACTTTAGTGTATTTTTAACACTGACAAGCAAAACCACACACAGCACGCAAAACCACACACAGCTTGCTTATATAGCACCCCAGCAGCCAATCCCAAGGTACTTTACAATTCAGTTGGTTAATAACAGGTTTTTGTGTAATCTCAGATTTATTTTAAAAACTAAAACCAAAAAAATTAAAAATCCAACTCCATAAGCAAGGAGGAATAGGTTTGCCTTTAGATGCCATGAAGTTCATTGAAACTGAGGATGCTAGTATCTCCTTAGGGCCAGGACTTAGTGTTTCTAAATATACTGGAAGGAAAGAAAAATATTCTTCTGCGCTTGATTGTAAGAGAGGCTTATAAAGAAAGTATAAAAAAGAATGATGTTTTAGAATGATATTCTTAAAAGGCCTTACATTAAAGTATTTTGAGATAGACTTGGTCTAATGAAAGATTGTAAAAAATCTAATGAAAACGATCCAAGTCTCAGTTCTGTTGCAGAATTGCACTGTGATACTGTATTTTAGCTGTTAGGTCTTTTTAATAGCACAAGTTGGAAGTTTGTAAATTGGAATTCTGAGCTATCTTAGTAAGACAAAGTACTGATGAATGTTTTCAGTCTCAAACTGTTGGTGCTTTGAAGATGGTACTGGTAATAGTCAGGTGGCTGCATTTCAACAGTGGTGGGAAACATTCCTGTGTGTAAATACTGTAAAGTGCTTTGGAGGGGGAAACGGCGCTATATAAATGTAAGACATTAAGTGCCTCTGAAATAATAATAAATCTAAAGATAAAATATATCTAGGCTTTTTATGTTTCTTGATGATGTGATTAGGAATTTTGTAACAATACAGTGAATGCATACTCAACAAATCTCAAGTTATTTCATGAGCCGATTGACTTGTGTTCAGCTTATAAAGTCCATAGTACTGTCCGAAATTCACCCCGGCATCGGCCAGATGATGCCATCCAGTTGTAGGCTTAACAAAAAACATGAGCTCAGTACTTGAAGATACGTACTTAGAGCAATTGGATTATAGGTGCATTAATCTGTTTTAAGTCTGCACTGATTCTGACCTCTCCCCTCTCTCCTTTGTCCACTGGCCACTTCTTTTCCCTTCAAGGTTATTGAGTTTTAGAAGGGTGTGGGCCTGAATAAGGTTAACATAATATCAGTACTTAATGTGGTAATTCCTTTGAGTGCTCCTTATTCTTTGTACTTTGAGGAAAACAGGATAATCACTCTCCACCTTTATTGTATTTGTGATTTTTTTAATGTTTTTCTTTGCTGTGGTAGACATACCAGCTGTCAGGATACTTGAAACTCAGAAGCGTTAGAGTGAAACCAAGATATGCTTGAATGAACTGATTTTAAGGGTCTTCTCCTGTGATCAGTGTTTTCTAATGCTAATTAGTAGTAATTTTTCCTTCTCTTAGCTGAGATTAGTTGTGCAACAAGTGTATTTGTGTAGCATTCTTAGAGCTATACAAGCTCTTGGAGCTCTAAAGGGTAGAGCTCCCTTTGAAAGGAAATTCCTCGACCAAGGATGCAGTCTAAACGTCAAAGTGTCATTCAACTTAGCTGATGAGCTGCAGAGAAAAAAAGGAACTTCTGTGTTGTGGATGTGATATTTAATACTTTAATATTTAGAGTAGTGTGAAGTCTGTTACTTGTTCAACTCTGGGCTCTCGGCTACCCAGTTCATTCCAAATGCTTGGTTTGTACGCTTCAACACTTTAATTCTTCCTTATGTAGAGGAAAAACATCAGTTCCTGGAACGGTAGGACTAAAACCATGGAGCAACAAATTCAAACTCCTTTTGAAGGATCAATCCACCATCTTTTGAGGAGGTTCGGTAGCCTTGGTGCAGCTTAATAAATGAATGTTTAATAAAGCTCCAGGCAGCTCTCCCCTCTCAGCAAAAATTAAGCTTTCTTGACGAAGACTATGTTGTTTTGGGAGGTGATGGTGCTTTCTACAGGACTAGCATGAGACTGGAAAAAACCTGCAAGGTGAACAGAACATCGCTGTGAACCTTGTCATCTTCCATCCCAAGTGCAAAGCACGCTTCACTGCATAATGGAGATATTTTTTTTTCTTGCCAAAAAAAAAACCCCAGCAGGAAACGTGCACAAACATCCAACCTACCTCTGAGCCTTGTACTTCTGGGAAAAGTTGGCAGAGTAAGCTACGTCCTAAGCAGTACGCATGTTGCAGGGATGTTTCTTGCCCAAATGCGGCACAGATAGAGTGGAGTAGACAACACCCTGCTGGACAGCCCAAACATGAGATTACTTTAGCACCGTTTGAAAGTGACTTGTGCTGTAAGAAAATTCGGGGTGTACTGCCCCTTCATCAGCTCTGTACTGTATACTAGAGAAGATGACTAGTGAGAAACAAAGCAGGATGCAGTGCTACCATGACAGCTTTTTAATTAAATCGCATCTAGTATTGACAACTTAAATGACTTATTATGCTTCTGCAGAATAGGGAGTTCAATCTTCATGTTTCTTAAATCTATAAAGAAGAAATATCCTGTTGATTAGGACTGGAGAGAAAGAACCAATTTAGTGACTCTTCCACAGGATTCAGCTCTTTGCAGACTCGACAGATACCAGTGTGCCACCTAATCTTTGGTGTTCTGAAGTGGTCTAGAAATGTGAGAAAACATTAAGATGTCCTGTCATCAAGACAGGAGTTAAAAATCCAGTATTAAAATTTATCTATAATTGTCATACATACTATGAGATGTCATAGAAACGTCCATGATAATGATCACCTGAACTCCAACTGTGAAAAATAGTAGGGGGAAAAAGTTAACCGTGGTTTTATAGAAAAAGTAAACTGCAACTTTTATTGGTCAAGAAGAAAATCAACAGTGTGCAAGTTCAAATTTCTGCTTATAAAGCTGCTGTTCAAAACACTTATTTCTATGTGTAATGTATTTGCTTCCTTATTAGGTGTAGATACCAGTTGGTTTGCGCCGTCCTTTTCGTGAGCGTGGAAAGAGGTTTCTTGGATTTATGAGTCAGTGATGTGCAGCTGTTCGGGGAGGAGGTTGGTTGGTTTTCCCTTCACACGTTGTGGTTCCAGGCTCTTGCTACTGCTGTGGGCGCAGTCAGATTTTTATTAACGATGCCTTAAACTTCGCCTGGAAGTTTAGAATGGCTGTGCACATCACAGGTTTGTGATATATTTGTTTGCATTATAATACGTTTGTTTGTATGTTCTGACGAAACTCATCCCGTCGCGTGCATTCAAACATAAGATGAAACTGGTTTCGTCTTGAAACAGAAATATAGCCAAGCTAGGTTACTGTGAAAGCAATTTTTCTTTTACGTTAAAACCCTAGAAACAAGTGATCTTCAACGTTGCTCCGCCATCTTTGAACTGCCGCATCAGTTTCTTTCCTTGTATGCAAAAGCAGAGCCAGATGACAAGCAGCCTGGAACTTCACAGACAGAAGCTGTCTTAAGGGAATAATTTGAAAAATATGACAGAATTCAGGGTTTAAATAGAAATAATATGACTAAACATCTGGTGAAATTCCATGGGGATTGACTTTGGAAACCGAAGACATTTTGCCAGTAATCCTGCGAGGAATGCAACAGTGCAAGAATAATCATCGAGCTGGCATTTTAAAAATAGGAGAGAAGGGGAGCTTTGGCACTTCACTTCTGTGGAATATATCTTCTACAAACCAGGCTTAACAATCACAATCTCTCTCGCACTGGTTAGAAACCTCACTCTTAGTGACCCTTGGCAAGTCTGAACCGTAAAATTCAATACAATGGCTTTTACTGGCCAAAGGAGCTCTTGTGCCGTAGTGCCCAGCCCCGTTCCCCGCTCTGCTTGTCCACAAACCAACATCCTTATTCCCCACCCGTCCCTCGTTCTGGGAAACAAGTGGCACCCACACATGATGCTGCACCAGAATAGAACAGAACTGGAAAAATGAGGTCAATGCTGTCTGGACAAAGCTAAGACTGCCGAGATTGGTTTGCTTGGGTAGAAATAGGGAGCTACACGGCTGAGCAAGTTTTCTGCATTAAGATAACTTTAGAGCTTGGCACTAATCACAGCTAATTTTTTTTAAGCTTGATTACAGAAAATTTGGGGAATACTGCTCCGGAAAAGACACTCCACGTATGCAATTGAGGAGACATTCTATGTAACCAAATATACCCTTTATTTCCTTAGACTGAATGGCTTAGTGCAAGCAGGTGCTAAAAACCATTTGACTAATTTTAATCATCGTGAATCATGTCAAGGTAGGCAGTGTGAGGATGCTCCCCAAAATAAGCTAGCCTTTATTTACTTACTTTATTGTGGTATTCTAGTGGGGGAATGCATTGGCACAAAAGCAACAGAGCTAAAACCAGCTGCTAATGTGACAGACTTGGTGAAACACTGAAAGCTAACGAAGCATCTATAGAGGGGCTGATAAGCTAATGTATTTGGGAAAATAATGGTTAAAAAGAAAGGCGTGTGTGCTGGAGGCTTCTTAAAACTCGGATGCAGTCTTAGCATGTCGCAACAGGATTTATCTGGAAAGCCAGGAGCCAGTAGCAAATTTCTTTTGAGCTTAGTAAGGAATTAAGGGCTAAGGTCAAATCTACACATTGACATTCTTGTCTTTTTTAACCCACAGATACTAACTAGATAATAAAAAAATTAAAGCAGATTGTAGGGTAGTTGTATTTACAATAGTCCTAAGCAGAGAATTTTGAAAAGGCTGCATGAGGTTAGTGCTTCAATACTCGCAAAAATCTCTTCAGGCTTAGCGTGTTACCTCTGTAAACTTCCTCTGAGGCACTGGGGTGCATCATGCCGGTGGGATAGAAGGTACTGGAGTAGGTGGGGCTGATACACGGGAACTCTTACTGTCTACGCCATGTATTTTATTGTCCCTGAGGTTGTTAAGTGACCCGCCTGAGAGACGCGGTACCCTCACCTGGGACCTGTTTCAATTTCTAGTGCCTGTGCCTCTAGAGTGGAAGGTCATTCCCTCAAAAGCCTTGTTTTGGGTTGCTTTTTTGAGGCAAGCTCAGCAGAACTCAAAGCACGTAAAGCCCAAAACAACCCCTGTTAACAAACGCGGCTGCGTCCCAGCTATTCCTACCCGTGCCTCGCCGCTGGACGGAGAGCGTGTTATCACAGTTCCAAACACAGCTTGTACTTCAACGTAACTTACTGGGCTTTTACAGCTCAACTTACGCCACGTGCAGTAGTAACGCATTTTCCAGTGCTCCTCGAAGACTTCAGTCCCTTCTCTGAGGTTCTCGGTCCATTCTTCTACGGGTTAAAAGGGCAGCGAGAGGAATCTGTTTTCTGTTTGAAGCATACCGAGGAGAGAAAGTCTGGTAAGAAGCTTAACATTCAATGTGAAAATCTCCTAATTCTGAACTGCTCCTGAGTTTTCTGAGACTAAAGGGGAACTTTTTCAGGAGAAGGGAGTATGGTTTTGTGCGAGCTTTAACACCATCACGCAAACAATGAGTAAATAAGTACTTGTTGCCACCTGCGAGATTGTTAACCGGGGCCTTGTTTCCAGCAGTGCTTGAAAACTGGACAAGACAAGGTATGTCATCACCCAAGATCCCTGGAGAACCTGGCAGAGGGAAACACGGACTGAATGGAAGACGGGGAGGGTGTTCAGGGGGAGAGAGCTGCTCCCCCCCTTCCTATCGGATCTCATTGAGCTGTTCAAACTGTCTGTTGCTCTTCGCTATTAGGAAAGAGAAGACGTAACAAATTTTACATGTCCTTTTCCTTCAAATTTTGGTGAGATCTGGATTCAAACCGGGTATCGGTGTACTAGCCATTTAGGAAAATGTGGATTGTTAGCATGCTGATTATGCCTTTTTTTACCACTTGGGGTCACCTTTTCTAGTCACATGAAACACAATACCAGACACGCAGTTGCGGAATTAATGCCGTAGAGATGGCTCACAGAGTCTAAGTTGTATATGCAGTGCTACCGTTCCGACGTAGCAGCGTGAAGAGCAAAGAAGGAACGGATCTGCGGCGTTCGTGGTTCCACTGCTATAGCGATAGCTGCAGCGGTGACGGAGGACGGTGTGGTTGCACCCTTGATGCTCTATGGAAGCAAACGATCATGTTATGAATGAAGTGGAAAGATGGGAAATCAGATTGAGTATCATCTCTGTGGAGACGGACGTATTTGGTGTGAACGGATGGTAAAGTATGAAGGCAGCAGAGGGAAAACCTTCTGTGTTAATCAAAGATGAGCTCTTTAAAAAAAAAAAAACCAAAACACACACCAAAAAACCCACCTTTTTCCCAGGAATAATGAGTACTTTTTATGGGAGTAGGTTTTAAAATCTCCCTTGTCATTCTAGCTCTTTCATTACACCAGCTTTTTAATTGAGTTATGTGATTACTGAAGAACTGATTAAAAAATTACCATGTGATCTCATTGGGAAAATATTTCTCTATTCAGAGGAAGGAGGTTTTTAATTAAACCTCTTTTGATGAAATAGTTTTGTGAATATAACAATGTCTGAGTACTTTGCTATTTAAATATTTCTTGAAGTAATAAGGCAGAAAATTGAAAATAAAAACAGAAGAAAATGCATCAGAGAGGATCATTTCTTGAAGTAATAAGGCAGAAAATTGATGCATTTTCTTCTGTTTTTATTTTCAGAGAGGATAACTGAGATCTGAAACTGCAAATGTTCTTTGAGTTCAGATTAATAACTTCATTGCTAGTTAAAGAAGCCACTAAAAACTGCAAATGTTCTTTGAGTTCAGATTAATAACTTCATTGCTAGTTAAAGAAGCCACTAAAAACATTAATATTTAAATGTAATTAGGCGCACTGAGAAATGCACTCAGAGCAGTGCTAGCGAATGTTCTGGAAGTTATTGATCCAATGACGGTGACTAAGGGAAGCTAGAGAATAAAAAAATGCTGCCATGCTATTAATATATTCTTGATTGTTGATTAAGGGATATATATTTATTCAGGTGCTATGTTTTCATTTAAATGAGATCTGACCCAGCTGTTTGCAGAAATGAGACAGCGGGTTCATCTCTGGGGCAGAACAGGTAATGGAAATGAGGAGGGGACAGGGAAGAGGAATGGAAACATCGACAAAGGAGCCAGGGGAAGCAAGGAGCAGAAACGTGAGCTTCTTGCAGGAGCAAATCGCTGAAGCACGTCACTAACGGGGCACAAATTTTGACAAGATGAGAAACAGGCACCATCCCTGCACTCGGACATACGAGGTCGGACCTGGCTGTAAAAGCCCCGGAGGCAGTCAACGTGGCTGTGTCTTTATTCCCAGGTACTGGCAGGTTTTACTGGAAGAAATCACCGCTGAGGCACATCTTCGTAGGAACTTGCCTAATTCAGCTACAGTTAGAGGCTGAGGAATTACAGGGAAAGATGTTCCTTCTGGGTCCTTTCGGGGGATGCTGAAATGGGCTGAATGAGAGCCCGTGCCAGAAGCAGCAGCAGGACCTCACTAGGGGGAAGATTTCTCACCGTAAGGTGGAAGGAAGAGGAGATTTGCAGCGCATCTGTCCTGGTCCTTATGCCCTGAGCTTTTTTAAGTGTCCTGCTGTAGAGCACCGGAGGACACGCACCAGCAAGTGAGGGAAGGGCAGCTTTCTGTGGCAGTTTCCCTTTGTTAAGGGACTGGGCGTACTGTGCGAGGGAGCATACGCCATGGCGCCTAACGCCACACCTAATGGTTGTGGAAAGATTTTCAGCTGGCCAGTTCCTGCTTCTGTCCTGTCTGGCAGGTTGTTCTTTTTTGTTTTTTCTGTCTTCCTCAAACATGAATACCAGGTCTTCTCTCTCCCTCAGTGACAAACATACGACTATAGAAAGGGTGGTTATTTGTACGTGGATAAATACCGCGTAATTCGAAGGCTACTCGACTGACTCTTGGGTCTGGTACTGTCAAAAGCCCACTCATTCCTGTGTATTTCAAGGTTCTGAAACTGTGAGGCAATCACTACTAACCTGCAAAATAATCAGCGTTACAAAACTGAACGAGGAAGGTAATCTATCACAGCTATTTATTCTCACTTAATGCAGAAACGCTTTGTCCTGAGTGGCCACATAACTAGTGATCCGAGTTAAGCTTATAATCACATTCTTATCATTACATGCCTCTCAGCAGCAGCCTTCTCCCAGTGGAGAGCTGAGTCTGCTAGAAATAGATTAGCTAAGTTGTTTGCGGCCGTACCTATCATATATACATTTATGGAGTCCTGTACAGTTGTTCATTTTAAGTAATGGCAGTAATTTCATTGTCTGTAATGCTGTTAGGGCCGGCAGAAAAGTAGCAGAACAATATCAGCCTTTATTCCCTCTCGTGAAGAAGAAGAATGTGGTTTTAAAGCAGTACTACAAAACGAAAGTGGCTTATTACAGTGTGCAATGTTACATGTTCATTTGTATAAGGAGAGACACAAGTACGGTGTCAGGGAACTGTGCAAATGTTTTTATCCACTTGAAATGTCCAGATGGAGGTTGGTGACGAGTGGCGTCCCGCAGGGGTCTGTATTGGGACCGGTCCTGTTTAATATCTTCATCAATGACATAGACAGCGGGATCGAGCGCACCCTCAGCAAGTTTGCAGATGACACCACGCTGAGTGGTGCGGTCGACACGCCAGAGGGACGGGATGCCATCCAGAGGGACCTGGACAAGCTGGAGAAGTGGGCCCGTGTGAACCTCATGAGGTTTAACAAGGCCAAGTGCAAGGTCCTGCACCTGGGTCGGGGCAACCCCCAGTATCAATACAGGCTGGGGGATGAAGGGATTGAGAGCACCCCTGCCGAGAAGGACTTGGGGGTACTGGTGGATGAACAGCTGGACATGAGCCGACAATGTGCGCTCGCAGCCCAGAAGGCCAATCGTATCCGGGGCTGCATCCAAAGCAGCGTGGCCAGCAGGTCGAGGGAGGGGATTCTGCCCCTCTGCTCTGGTGAGACCCCACCTGGAGCACTGCGTCCAGCTCTGGAGCCCTCAGCATGAGAAAGACATGGACCTGTTGGAGCAGGTCCAGAAGAGGGCCACGAAAATGATCAGGGGGATGGAACACCTCTGCTATGAAGAAAGGCTGAGAGAGTTGGGGTTGTTCAGCCTGGAGAGGAGAAGGCTCTGGGGAGACCTTATTGCAGCCTGGCAGTACTTAAAGGGGCTTATAAAAAAGATGGGGACAGACTTTTTAGCAGGGCCTGTTGCGACAGGACAAGGGGGAATGGCTTTAAACTGAAGGGGGGTAGATTTAGACTAGAGATAAGGAAGAAATTTTTTATGCTGAGGGTGGTGAAGCACTGGCCCAGGTTGCCCAGAGAGGTGGTGGATGCCCCATCCCTGGAAGTGTTCAAGGCCAGGTTGGACGGGGCTCTGAGCAACCTGATCCAGTTGAAGATGTCCTTGCCCACGGCAGGGGGGGTGGACTAGATGACCTTGAGAGGGCCCTTCCAACCCCAACTATTCTGTGATTCTGTGATTCTATGAAATAGCTGGATACCTTTTTCTGCAACAGAGGACAAGGAGCAAAGCAGAACAGGGGTCTCAGGAGCATCGGTAGGAACACGCTTGCTTGGAGAAACCTGCTTAGAAGATAAGCCAGGGAATTTAGGTGCATAGGAAAAGCCTTCCCTTTCTCATATCGATTCACTGGATGGCTGGCTCCATCTTAAATTGGTACCGTGCCAAAGTGGCCACGTGTGGTGTAGGTAGGATCTAGTCTTTCTTCCTAGTGACAATACCTTCATTCAGCAACTCCTTTTGCCAACCCTGACACTTTGAGAAAGTTAAATCTCTGCATGAAACATTTTGTGTGGGCTCAGTATGCTGACCCAAGGGATAATATTTCCGGAAGTTTGCCATAAAAAGCCTCTTTCTCAACTGTCTCCACTAACAGCAAAAAAACTCTTTGAAATAGGATCTGTGAGCCCCGTGACTGGTTACTCAGCATCGTCAGATGATAACGTACTGCAGCTAGGGAACAGGAGCGCTTCAGGTTTCCAGAACCTGTGCAGTAGTGGGTCACTCTCATGCCATTTAAGGCACTTGTTCGCATTTCTATGGGTGTTCTTTCTTTCTTTCTATAAAAACAACCTTCGTATTCAGAACAAACCAAAAATCTCTTAAGTAATGAAGCACGTCGCTTAGGGACACGGTTTAGTGGGCATGGTGGTGGTGGGTTGACGGTTGGACTCGATGACCTTAGGGGTCTTTTCCAACCTCAATGATTCTATGATTCTATGACTCTATGTTTTATAACATCATTCTATGTAGCTTACAACAATCAACTGCATAGTCTAGTTTAGGTTACAACATCGCAATTTTTACAGGCTTTCCTTTTCCTCTGAGCTCTTCCCTTTTCTGAGCTTGGCACTGAATGAAGCTGAGGAAGCAGAACAGCACAGGGAAGGGAAGTAATGATGACAGCCTTGGAATGTTTTTAAATTTACTCCCACAAGCTCTCATATTTTTGATTGCTGTTGTAAGATTCCTCTTCCACACAAGGAAATGCATTAAGCATTTATTGCACAATGGTAAGTAAACGGGGTTTTTTGGGGGGAGGGGGCGGGGATAGTGATGGTTGTTTTCTTCCCTCTGTAAAAAAGGGAATTAAAGAACAAGGAAAGCCCCCATAAACCACACTCACACGTCCACAGGAGTCTTAATCCATACGAAGAAGGTATCTATAATACAGTAGTGATGAAAAACATAAAATACAATTCTGTAAAAAGTGGTCGATTGGGATATTAATTTTATATGATGTTATTCCTTCTCATAAATGCAACGGACATCTTCTTTCAAGACATGTATAAAGCTTTGAGATATACAGCCAGTTAGTGCCAACTACAAGACATTTTTTTTTTTCCCCATTCTCTCGATTGTTCGGTTTGGTTTGGTTTTTTGTGCCTATCACCATCGTTAGCAGCAGATACCAACATTAGTTACAGCAGTTCTCATCTCTGGGCCAGGCCCCGTAATGCCTTGAATGAACATTAGTACCACAAGCAGTACAGGCACCACTGTGGGAATCCCTACGTGATACATCCAGAGACGTCTACTATACTTGCCATTAGAACGAGAAGCTGTGAATGCAAACACTGAATAACCGCTCACGTAAGCGGACAGCTGAAAAGCAGCTCGGGACTCTTCAAAACCTTTCATCAGTTTCGTGAACTGCGGCATCTCATATTTTTATCCTCACAGGTAGCAGGTGCCCTGGTTAGTCTATTTTGCAGAGTCCTGCTTAGACTCCTGGCAGCTTGCCTACACTGCTGCCGCAAGATAAGTTTCCTAAATGTATTTTTAATTTAGTTCTGGAAAGAATGCTGTACTTCATTTAAAAAAGGAAAAGAAAGTCTTATTTTCCCAGTCACCTTTATTTCACTAGAAAAGTATAAATTACCATCATAAATACAGATATCACCAGTATAAAAATTAGATTCTCATTTATAAAATAAATATTAAAATAGTCAAAGCAACAGGTACCTCCAAATCCCATCACCAAGATGATTTGAATCTATACCGCATAAACTATTCATTTCACCAACTGTTTAATTAAAAATAATGTTCAACATGCAGTAAATACTGCTACCTACTCAGTGCTTGCATGAAGTGAGTTACTACTGACTCAAAAACTGCAAGGTATTTGTTCTGACACTTACTTGGAACCATCACACTACCCTGTCTGTATAACTCTAGGCGTGGTGTAAAGCCGATACGCTTTCCAGATGGATAGCAGCTACCTACTTCAAGAGTGTTCCTTACAAGTCGCCGGTACAGTAGTTTCAGTTTGTTTGCCTTTAACTGTCTGTATCCGAAGAGAAACAGACCGAGTTAATTTTATCCAAGAAGTGCAGAAATAATAGTAGCATCTTTGTCACGTCTGAACTAACAGATCATTTCACCAGTTAGTAATGTTAAAAGGAAGTCAGATAAATACAGGTTTTGTTTCACAGAAACAGAAAGATGTTCCTTTCACTTAGGTAAAGGACACATATTTGTCAAGAGTAGTGTTTTTTTCCCCTCACAAGTACCATAAATCTTCTGGCTCAGTAAGGCCATACTTTCAGAATGGCTGTACCTGGTCGAGTCAAAGGGCCATCTAGTTCAGAATCCTGTTTCAGACAGGACAACAGAAGGAGCTTGGGAAGAGTATAGGAGCAGGGTTAGGATATTGGAACAGATCACCAGAACACTCTCCCAGCCTCTGGCCCCCAGTGACGCAGGGGCTTCCCGATACCTGGATTTTTCATCTGTGACTGTCTAACGGATTTTTGAATCCAGATATATTTTGGGCTTCGGAATTCCTGTGTCAGAAAGGCTAAAAGGCTCCACCCCATTACCCAATTTATGTTTTTTGCTGTGGTTTGTTGTTTTTTTTTTTCCTTTGGAACTGCCACTAGTGTCCACAATAATTTTTCCTTAGACACCATTAAGCGGTTCCTTTTCTCTTGCAGCTTTTGCTTTCTGGCGTTTACACAGGATCACTGATAGGACAATGGCAAGAGTGATGATCGCAATTGCTATCACCGCTACGATGATAAAGACTTCTGCTCCGTATTCTGTAGGGGATGAAAAAATCCAAGATTCAGTTATCAGAAGCCATAATGTCACAGTGCTACAAACCCTTAGAACCCACTGCACTGAACTAAAAAATGCTTTCTGTATTTTACAGTATCACAGAAGTGGAGTGACCACCCCAGTGTGAACTGAACTCATTTTAACGTGAATTTGTTGAACTGAGGTAAAGCTTTATTTCACCTGGCTCACACTAGGTTTTAACGTAGTTTAGTTAGTGCACTAAAATACCATGCTACCACCACAAGAATAAGTCAAACCATTCCCCCTACCCCTGCATTATTTCTGTGAAACTAAGTCCAAGTGGAAATTTATTCTAGGTTAGAAGCTAGAAAACACCAACAGAAGAGATTTCTATTCAAGTTGTAATTTACTAGAATTCAACTATTGTGATAAACAAAAATATATATCTAGATAAGAAAGTTAATTTGAGAGAGTTAATTTGCCAATTTTAGAAGAGCTTTTCCACTTAGAGTGCAAATATTCTTATCTGGTGGAGAAGAAAGATACAGTCCAGCAATGTGATATTATTTAATATCGACGGCTTTATATCGAAGGAAGTGTTACTCAGATTGTTTGTCTGGAATTAGACTGGCTGATTCACTGACCACTCATGAACTTATTTACCAGTAAAGAAGTCACTCTGCCACCTCTGACCTTGTAATGTAACATAAAGAAAGTCTTAGTCTCATCTGCTTTTGAGATAATAACTAAAGTTCAGTTCAAACTGCAAGTCAATGGATATATAGGTTTCCAGCACTCCTATGTTTTAGAGCTAATCCTTCAAGCACTTACTATCGGACCAGTTATTGGAAGGATCTGAGGAAAACAATCAGAAAACAAAAAAACGAAGCTGAAGGCTAGGGATGAGATCTGAAACCTCAGTGACCAGTCAACTCAGACAATTTAAAACTAATCAAAACAGTTCAGCAAAACCCTAAAAGCAACTCCAACTAGATAAAGAAGGTGGACTCTTACTTAACGTGAGTTCTTCCCATGACTTTCCATGTTCAATCTGTGTTCTCTCACTTATACAGTAAATAGTTTATTCTATAAGAGGCATCATAATTTAAAGAGGTATAAAAATATACTCAGAATCGAAGTGTCTTTTTGTTAGAATGCTCTAGACTGTAAGACGAACTGCACCAGATACCTACCATCTAAGATGGTTCTTCCTACGCTGGTACAAAGCACCATGCTGTCTTGACCGTTACGGTTTTCTCTGCGGGAGGGAATGACTCCCTGTATGTAGAAGCAATAGTTCTTTGTGCTGTCAACGCTTACTTCAAATTTCTGGCTTTTTGTTGTTGCAGCTTTCTGTAAAGGAAAGAAAATACTTCAAGAAAGTGTTCTCTGCAAAAGCGTTAGCTCTGAAGGTAGCACAGAAATTGTGTAGCTATAATCCAGCTACAGAATATGTAAAAAGTGGAGTTAGACCTTACCTTTCCAGAACTTTGATCTTTCCAGTAATAGAGTTTGTATTCCAGGTCATCTTGGAAAATATCTCGAATACTTCGAAAGCTTCCATTAGGAAAGGTATATGGTGTAAGTGGATCTTGGAACACAACATTCAGTTTGGAACCTTTCTGTGTGTAATTCTGTATCTCCGGTTTTCCGAGAACAGCTAAACAAGCATTTTTGGAATTAAAAAACTGACATCATCTTTTCTACACAACATGCTCTTTTTTCTTCCTCCCTCCACTCCCTTCCCTCCTCAAATCCATTTTAAGTTTACAGAGCCAAAGTAATACAGTGAAATCCTGAATTATTAACAAATATCTTCATCTAGTACACAATGTTAATAAAATGGCCTACTCGCTGCAGTGAGAAACAGATGGTAACGAAAATCTTACACACTCCCCTACAACAGGGAAAGCTTTATGCCTGAATGTCGTCTTCTCAGATATCGGTATGGCTACTGTAAGAATCTATAGGAAAAACCTTTAGGCCCAATCTAAACCTTGTTTAAGTCAGTGGAAGTAATCTTGAAAGGAAGTTTATGGTAAGATTTAATCGGCAATCCGACTTACTCTGGCTATAAGGTGTAAATTTTTCAGAGACTGCAAAAGGTGGTTCTTCGAAGTTATCCATCCCCGAGGACGTTACAGACAGTATGTGTGCTGTATAGGTCTCTTTTACGTTCCTGAGCACATCAGTAACATCACACTCTGTTTCTGCTGTCGATATGCATTTTTTTTTGGTGTCAGTTGTCTGTCTGAAAAGAGCGAGAAAGAAGCGTCAACACTTTCCAACCAGACTTTTACATATTTAGATATGTTAAAAAGCATTTTCCCCCCCTCAAACTGTATAGATTTCCCTCATCCAGTGCAACAGTCTTGCAGGTGCACCAGGCTGAACAGGAGAAGAAAAAACCCTCAAAACCCACTATCCCGTACAGCTGTATTTCACAATTCAAAGTAGAATCAAGTAAATCAAATATGACCCCTATTAATTATAGAAATATGTTATTGGATACATATATGAATTAAAAAGTCAATCTTTTATATGAACTGAATGGAAACCATAAGTAGTTCTGACTTTGGATTTTTCTGCAGTTGACTTATTTAAAAAACCGTAAGATGCATAAATCACTTTGAAAGTGATGCACCTGAAAACTATTGCCTTAAGAAACATCAGTTGTCCTAGGAAGCTCTGTTGACACCAATATTAACTGTTTAATGTGACAACGTCGTCTCCTCATATGTGTCACTTGTTTTTGCATCTACGCAGGTGCAAATGTCACTAAGAACCAGACAGTAGCAGCAATTTTCGTTGCAGAATTACAATTAAAAAATATTGACAAAAAGCATGATCCGTGCACTTCTCTTGATTTTTAAATGATAGAAAGCAGGTCCATTTACTTGAGAAATAATAATGAAACCAGGAAGAAAGTGTTAATTCCCCATTTTCCTTCCTAATAAGAAGGAATGCAAAAACAGATTAGATATTACTGCTTCAATTCTTTTCCCTGTTTTTGCTGGTGAACTAAAGAAAAGAAAAATTGTGTGATCTCAGCCGAAAGAGCAAGAGTGCTGACTGTTTGGGTATTAACATGGGAGTTTTCCCCCAAGTAGGTCAAGTTTTATTTAAGAGTCGCCTGAACTCCCTTCTCACTTCACCAGATTTCTTGTGGTGTCACAGATCAGTTAGTGATAGTGTCCTAGAGGTGCCTTGAAAGGGGACAGAGGAGATTTGATCTTTGTGATCAAACAAACGTACTCCGTAAATGTACTTAGACAAGAAAGCAAACATTTAAGCACACTTCATCCATAAGAGCAACTTGTCTAAAGAAGTGTCTCCGTATCAGAACGACACCTGACTCTATACTGAATCGTGGGCAAACAGACTTCAACTTTTTGCAAGCACAAATGGCTGGAAAGAAACTCCAGGTTCGTAAATTTAATAAAATTCATTCTGCTAGGGTGTATTTTTAAGTCTATTAATTTAATCACTCCCTTAAAGAATGAAAGAGCACGTTAAGCCATTGCACTGGTATTTCATCCATTAGTCATGAGAAAGCTCTCATTTCTAGGCTGCTTTTACAGACAGTAGAAACTACAGTACCATATTTTCATTAATAGGTAGGAGAGCTGATGATGCAGTTTCCCTTTAGGGCATGTTTAATAATGGTCTATGAATTAATAGAATGAATCTGAGCTAAGAACAGCACAGATTTATTACCGAACTTCATGGAAGTTTTTGTGTAGTGTTGAAAGAGGTTAGAGACTCTTCACATAAGCCGGCTACTTTTTATGTCCACAATATTTCATAGCTTACATAAAACAATGACAGAGCAGAAGAAACTACAGTACCATATTTTCATTAATAGGTAGGAGAGCTGATGATGCAGTTTCCCTTTAGGGCATGTTTAATAATGGTCTATGAATTAATAGAATGAATCTGAGCTAAGAACAGCACAGATTTATTACCGAACTTCATGGAAGTTTTTGTGTAGTATTGAAAGAGGTGTTAGACTCTTCACATAAGCCGGCTACTTTTTATGTCCACAATATTTCATAGCTTACATAAAACACAATGACAGAGGAAGTCTCGACAGAGGTAGACGACCAAAGGTAGTTTTTAGTATTACCCAGCAAGACACATTATTCATTTACTGTGATTCACCGATTAGAATAAAATGCAGACTATTTATCAGACACCTCCCAAGACTAAAGACAAAAGACTCAGTCCCAGATACCCTGACAGACATAAAAAGGTGACGTTCCACCTAATACATGGTATGTCAGATTGAGTGTCAACTTCTTCAGAGTATCTCGGCCTCGACCTCCGGTGCAGCTGGCCTGCACCGAACCCCAGAACTGGAATACTGATCTAAAGCTCAACTCTCTGTTTCTGAAGTGGGCAAAACCAGAAGCCTGAATCAGATATTCTTATAGTTGGATATAAAGAAGTATTAACAGCTGGGTTGGCAATTTTCCTAAATCCTCACGTTTGGGCTCTTTTCCTGTTACAGTCAGTCTCAGACACATTCAAACACACACCATTTGCATCTTCTTCAGTTGCCATTAATGGGCACACCTCGGTGTTATCTACTTACCCGTGTATTTCTACTGTATAGGAGTAACCTGATGGTTTTGGTTGCCACTGTAGTATAGTTTTAAAATTGATTGAAGACCAAGTTATATTAACTGCTGTTGGTAGTTCTGGATTGCCTTTAAATACAGAAAAGAGTGCCATCAGTCATATTATATGTAATTCCTGGGCCCCTGCACTCACCGTTTAGTTAAATTAAGCAGTTGCTGTTAATTGCTACTTGGAAAAGTTCTTTTGGGGGGGGGGGGGGGGGGGGGGGGGGTCCTGCCCTCTGGGCTTAGGAATGTGTCCTGGCAGAACCGAGAAACACAAGAAGAAAATTATTTTCCCGCCTGTAACTCCTAGGTTGGCGAGGTAACTTATTTGGAGGTCTGTCTAATGCGTCCTTTTTGATCCAAGACCTCTGAAGAAGCTACAAAAGCTTGAAGATTTATTACCGAACTTCATGGAAGTTTTTGTGTAGTGTTGAAAGAGGTGTTAGACTCTTCACATAAGCCGGCTACTTTTTATGTCCACAATATTTCATAGCTGATATATCCACATAAGTACATATCCACAATATCTAATGAGAACGTCCAAGCACCGAACAAGAACGTCCAAGCACCGAATAAATGCGGTGTAGTTCAAAATCATTCCTGGCTGTATCTGCTGCAGAAGGCATTAGCTCGTAGCTTCCCCGCTTACTTATTTTGGGAAGATAAAGTCTTTAAAAATCAGTGGTTGCCCTACACGCTCGCATCTGAGAACGGCGACCCCCTGACAAGCAGAAGGGAGACCGCGGCAACCTGCGAGCCCGCCGCCCCGGCGGACGCCACGACTGCTTTGGGGAACTGCCTGGGAGGAAGCTGGAGCGGAAAACCCCTCGCAATCTCTGGAACCTCTGGAAATCAAGGGTTGCACTGAGCGATACCCTAATTATTTTCTAAATACCACCTTCTCTGCCTCTCCGACAAGCTCGGAACTGGGGACGAGGGAAAGAAACCTTGCAGTCACCCCTTGGTTACAGTAGGTCA